CCTACACTGCTGAGACACAATGTGCAGGTGCAGGTTTTTCAGAGCCCAAAGGCAGAGAGCTGCCTGAGGACTCCGGTTTTTATAGATTAGGTATGTCTATTGCATCTTTGTATGATTCCCCTCCAGTCTTTAGTGAGCTTCATCTTCTAATCATTTTTCTACACCAGCTGTTCTTTGAATAACCTTCGACTTACTGAATAAGCTCCCATTTTTCTTCATACATAATTTTTTTTTTTTAAGGTCAAGTCTTTCTTAGGGAAAAGAAAAAGAACAAAACAAACTAGAAAAAAAGAATTCAAATGACAATGAAGATAATCATTCTGCAGCCAGGAAAATTAGCAAAACTTGCTGGATATCTAGCTAAGAACCTATAACGGCACACTTTGCTCATGTACCATTTATCACTATCTTATAAGCTGCACATGTTTCTGACTGATGCTATTCCCTAACCAGACATCCTACCTTCTATGTTTGTATATTTATTCCTTTCATCATGAATCAGCTTATAGCTATCTTTAGAGAATCTTGTATTATTGATTTCAAAAAAAAAAAAATCAACAATTTATCAAGATCTACTGTACAAAAGTATTTCGAGATCATTCATTGTGGTGATATTACCAATGAAGAATATGTTTGACTCAGTATCAGTGTAAAAAAAGCAAAGAGAGACATTGAGTTAGAGATATTTCTTCTATTTAGTTTTTTCATGTATTTTTATTTATGAAAATAAAAATATTTCCATGGAAGAAACTCATCTAAAAGTTGCTGAACTAATCAAATGTATTAGTTCCATTAAAATTTAATATTAATAACTTTAATAAAATAGTCCAGGAGAAAAGAAAAACCACAACACACTGATTAATAGCTTTGTTATCACTACAAACAGTGAAATAATCCATCAGTCCTGTATGTATAAACTTTCCTTTGAGGATTAATTACAGATAGAAACTAGGATTTTAATGCTTTCAAAATCAGTAAGTTCAGATCATTGTCACTTTTAAGGGTCTGAGCATTATTTTTTTTTCCAAGCAAATAACTAGGGTATCTCTAAAATATTATTAAATAAATACATAACATTTTGCATTGTAAAGGATTAAAGGAACAGGACGCACAGGTTCTGACATTAAAAGGACATACACGTGTAGCTCTTCAACTTTTTTGTTCTGGTGGTTTTTGCTAACACAATTTATAACTTCAATGTTTGGCAAAGTTTTGTTGATAAATTTTCCACATTTTCAATCCTACAACAGATAAAATGCCAACACTTCCAACAGAAACAGCTTATAAAACACTTCATATCAAAAATAAGGTGATACAGAGAATTAGTATGATATACAGTGCTCTACAACTGCTATTGCATATGCCTGTCACAAAGGCATTCTAATCACCAAGCCACCAGTTGGGTGAAGACTTCTTCCCCGCTATCATTAGCATCTGCCTCTCCACAGCTGAATAGGAGAGCTTTTTTATTATTATTCTAACATAAAAAAAAGTTCAATCTCATGTTTCCAACCTGGTCTCCAAAGTCCTCCGGGAACTTCCACAGTACCACTGGATCTGTAAATAATTGACAGACAGCATTAATCAGAGGCAAAGGAACAGAGTATTACAGTCAGAGTACATGAATATTAAAGAGAGGGTCAGCTTAGCGTCAAGCTTTGAGGCAAGTGCAAAAATGTATCTAAAAACTAAGGAAGATAATGGATTATTAAAAAGGCTTATTTCATATTTATGAAACTATATGTTTGTTGTTTTACACACAGTAGCAGGTTATAATGTACTGAACTATTTTCATATTCAACTCTTTTTAACTTTTGAGTACTTCATTTTTTAAGCACATGTTCAATTTTCACATTTGAATTTAATTAAGAAATACTGATATAAAACTGCTTTCCATCCAAGGAAAAAAATATGTAAAATGATAAGAAGGGGAAAACAAAGATCTCCATGCGGTATAGAAAAATGTAATTTGTGATTTTAAAGATAGTACCAATGTAATCAGCACTCTCAAGGATGAGTTTAGAAGAGCTAGCACATTTGAATATTCTCTGTTCAGAGCCATTTAAAATCAGCATTTCAATAATATCTTAAAGTTTTCATTAACCTATTATAAACTTAATTATCAAAATAATCAGTGTTATTTAGGCCATATATTAGTCTACAATTAACATTATTTTGAAGGCATCTAACACAATGACCTGAACCATAACCTTTCAACAAAAACCGAATTATGCTCTTCATCCCCCCCAAAGCTTTTAATCTCCTGTGATACAAAACCTTCCCGAGGTGCTACTGTTAAACTGTATCACAGGCACCCATGAAGCTTCACAGCACTTCTATACAACAGATTAGCAGCAGCATTTGTCCGTGTGCTGAAAGTGAAATTACCCATCTTCCTGCAAGGGAGACCCAGGTCGGTGCCAAAGCCTGGACTAGAGGGAGAGCTCACCAATTTCTGCTTGTGTCCTAGCCAATGTCAGGCAGATCCTCCTGCCGCTGACCGCACGGCCGACAACACCTCTGGGTGCCAGAAGGCCATAAAACGAACAGAGAAACCCACGGGTAAGTGCCAGGGGACACTGCCTGATGAGAAGTGCAACCTCTTGGCTACCTCTGGAGCTGCTGGGATTCCTGTCTTCTGAGGAGCCAAGATCTGGGAAACGTATTCAGATTTCCACTTCAGTCTCTAACGCTAGCACTGTCTGATAAACCAGAAACCTCCTTCTTATTGCTACATTTTACATCAGAATCGGAGGGTTCTCCACTTTTGGCAAAGTACAGAGTTTTCTACTCTTCTTCATCCTCCCACATATGTTCGCTGCTTCAAATTGAAGCTTTAATAGAAGGGAAACGCCATTGATGGTATTTTCATTCCCAGCTGCTGATTTCAAATCCTGCTATTCAACATGCAGCTGCCGTGCCCGCGTTTGCCGCTGGCCCGCTCACAAGAAGCTGGAGACTGAAGCCAGTATTCCTCCTTCACCCCGGGCCAGATGTTAAACCAACAGTGGAACATACATTTTGAATGTGTTGCAAAATTCAATTTGTCAATCAACACAACCTAATTCAGACCTAATTTTCAACTAATTTAAATCTAATTGAGATTTTAGACAAAAACGTGGCTATTTGACTCTGCTTATTGGACAAGCATATCTTTGCTCCTAAGAACATCTTGGGAGGGTTCTGCAGCTATTATCTATGAAAACATATGTATTTTGCACAAGGAATCTTCCTGCATCTAATATAGGGAGCAAGAACTTTTGGAGGCAGACGTGAAACGAGATAAGATGCTATGTTTATAAAAATATGAGAGTCAATAAATACAGTTCCTTAAAACAGAGATCTTTTCTCCCATTTATTTTGCATGTATTTAAATCACAAACACATCTGTGTAATGACCAGATACAAGAGGAGTTTGAGTATCTCAGTGCCTATACTGTAAGGGTTCTCTTATTTTTATTCTAATTTAGTACAATGAAAAAGAAAGTAATTATATATCAACAGTTATCACTGACAAATTCAAGGAGCAGCAAGCACGGTAACAGATATCAAATACTCAAGTAATTAATACATGACTTGCTAAAAACCACTGGAAATTGTGCAGAGTCCAAAAAATACCTTAAAAGAGCTTGCAAATCTAAGGCCATATCTCCACAAACATTTCAAGCACAAATTTCTCTGCAAATGAGCAATCCCACTGCACTCCCAGTACCAGCTACTTGTTTGTTATCCTGTACCATCATCCCTCTTGCTGATGCAGACTTTTCCACAGCTACACACTGAACCAGATGAGGGAACTGGCCAAGATCAAACCAACCATTTGGAATTTTTCAGGTCAGCGTCAACTAGATCAGTTCCCCAAAACCCTTGGTTTTGTGCCAGAAAAAAAAAGGAAGAGAAACCAGGGAATGGGGAGCTGTGCTGAGAAGAAAGCAGGACCGTTTCACCCGGCAGCAATCTGGCCTTAAGCATTTGCTAGACCTCACGAAATGCAAGCTGGTTACTAAGCTGCGTCTAGTTCCGTTTCTTATCACCTAGTTCTTGTTCAGAACTTCCCAAGTCTTGTCGTACCATTTATAGTTGCTTCTATTGCAAAACACAAGAGTTATTGTCTGCAAATAGGTGCGCGGACCGTTCTGCAGTAAGGCAGGCTGACGGAGCATCGCCAGGGAGGAGTGGACTTGGCAAGCTCACCTCTTCCTAGCAATGAAACCGCACAGAGTATTTCGGCAGATGTGAAGTACAGTTACATGAGAAACATTTAGTATATTGAATGCTTTAGCAACACAGTAACAAAATCACAGGGTTTTTTTGATACTTTGTAAAACGTTTAATGTATGAACTTCTAAATGGGAAAGAAATGTAATTTCTTTCTTTTGCTCTTCTTAGTGGGAGTATAACCGCCAGGCTTCAAAAAAGAAAGCAGATCACAACAGCAAAACCACCAAGCACAATTTTAAAAGGTCACAATCAGGAGCAAAGTATAATCTCAGAATTAAGCAAAACTTGGCTCTAGGTAACTTGGGGTTTGGGGTCACAAAATGGGTAATATCTTCACACCTCAGTGACGTACCAATGGAGCTGAATTACATTTCACAGGAGCGCCTTTTACCTACTGGCAACAAGACCAGCAGCTCCAATAACTTCTTTTGGTGCCCTGATATACTACCAGATATAAAACCTGCAACTCTAATTTAGTGTCCTGCTCAGTTTGCCATCTTTACTTCACGTTATTAGGGCTCTCTCGTACTACTTTGGTCTCATTTGAAATAATAAAAACAACTCTGAAGTAAATTCCAGTTCACTGAACTACAGGTATAACAACATTTATTTTGAAAGGATATTTATATCATGAGAGGATAATTAAATTCATGTGATCTAAACAGGCAGAATAATACTCTTAATACTCCTTCGTGAAAACAAAAAAGAGCCAACATTTTAAAAAATATTCCTAACTCAATTCAAGAAAAACATTCAGTGCTACATTCAGGAAAAATTATACACCTCCAAGACTTGTCCAACTGCTTTGAGCTGGGTTTTGCACTTGTTATTACTGGCTTTTAACCGGTTATTTTAGTAGGTACTTGCCATACATTTATTAAGTAAGAAGATCTGATGCGACTTGTGTTTCAAAAATAAAGGTTACTATATTCTTTCTATGCCTTCACTCTCTGAAACCAAACCCTAAGACCTATAAAAAGCCTTGCGATTTTATCATAATTATCTGAGTCAGGGGTTGGGCTTTTTTCAAAAGATTATGTTTGTTTCTGCTTTTGGAGCTAGGCTCAGGCAGCATCTGACACATCTTTCTCACAAGTGCTACAAAGGAAGAAACAAAAGAGTACTGATTTAGAAATAAAAAGAGAAAGTATAATCCGATTCTGCAACTTTATGCACTTTATCTTCAGATTCACAAAGACTGAATTTTCTTTTCCCCGAGGATTACTTTCCAGATACCCCATCTGATCTGGCAATGTTAGGTCAATTTTATGCTGATTTTATGGGTGAAAGGATGAGAATCACTCAAAAATAGCTGTTGCTATAGCCGGCTGAGGAACTACTGAGTTTCTCCTTGTTTTCTTTTTTTAACAGACTTTCTGGGACAAACACTTTGCGCCAAGTCTAAGTAACTGTAGTAGTAAGAGGGAATTGTTAAGTGCACACATAAAACGGTTTGTGCGTTGCATGTGTAAGTAGATATATATATATATATATATGTATGCACATACAAGCATCACTTCTTCCTATCCCTATAGCACCCAGGACAGACATTTCTTACAAAAGTACATCTTAGCATGTACCAGCAACGTCTGAAAATTCCTTTGCTAAATATCCTACAGCATTGTAAAGTACGTCTCCCAGGTGCGAATTTCACACCACTGTGAGGCTGCTGCTCACGCACACATTGCTAGACATAACTTGTGACATTTGACTTATTTGACTACTTTTGCATAATTTGCGATCATGTAACTCTGTTTATACATATTTTAAAAGAAAGCTTTTTATAATAAGATTCAGAAAGAACCAGTTAAGCCCCTGAGGACCACGATTAGAAGCAGGTGCAACTCTTGGTACAATTCAGAAAAGAGACAAGCACGGAAAGGTTTGTTGAGAGACCAAAATTTAGAGTACAGCACACTTGATACAAAGAGAAAAGTGAGTCACGTGCAATGCTTAAAAACAAAAGTATTCAAAATGATGCAATCTAGAACTGCTCCACAAGAAAAATGCGGGCAAGTATGATACACACTAAGAGAAGAGGAAAACATATGCATATCTTCAACTCCTCCCCAAAGATCTATTCCCATAGAGGTAACTTCATAAAGCACATCATCTGTATTTTTAGGAAAACCAATTCTAACACATTTCAACTTCTGTAACAAATCTAAGAAACTATAAAAGTACTATTTCTCATGATAGAGTAGATTAGAGAAGTAGTGCATTCAGAAAGACAAAAAAATAAAGCTTTCTGAGTGGTAACTTTCCCAAAAATTCAGTAGTTAAATATACTCTAAAAATACTCTTCACAATCATTAAGCTTGCAGATTATAAACATC